GAACTTAGGGAAAGCTTACTTTGATGGTATGAGGCATGCATTGGCTAGGATAAACTAGCCAAGGATACTTAAGGGATTGACAGTGTATAGGCAATGGCAGACATTTAAAGAACACATGGATGAACATCAACAATGTACATCCCTGTCTGGCATAAGGGTAAAACAGGGAAGGTGGCTCAACCATGCCTAACAAGGGAAATCAGGAACAGTGTTAAAGCTAAAGAGGAGGCATATAAATTGGCCAGAAGAAGCAGCAAACCTGAGGACTTGGAAAAATTTAAAATTCAGCAGAGGAGGACAAAAGGTTTAATTCATAAAGGGAAAACAGAATTGAAAGTAAGCTTGTGGAAAGCATAAAACTGACTGCAAAAGCTTCTGTTGATATGTGAACAGAAAAAGACTGGTGAAGACAAATGTAGTTAGAATCAGGTGAATTCATAATGGACAACAAAGAGATGGCAGACCAGTTAAACAAATACTTTGGATCTGTCTTCACTAAGAAGGACACTAATAATCTTCAGGAAATGTCGGGGGACAGAGGGTCAAGCATACAGGAGGAACTGAAAGAAATCCTTATTAGTCAGGAAATGGTATTGGGAAAATTGATGGGATGAAAAGCCAGTAAGTCCCCAGGGCCTGATGCTCTACATCCCATCGTACTTAAGTGGCCCTAGAAATAGCAGGTGCATTGGTGATCATTTTCCAGCATTCTGTAGACTCTGGAAGAGTTCCAATGGATTGGCGGGTAGCTAATGTAACTCCACAATTTACAAAAAGGAGGGAGAGAGAAAATGAGGAATTATAGGCTGGTTAGCTTGACATTGGTGGGTAGGGAAAATGCTAGAGTCAATCATTAAGGATGGAATAACTCAACATTTGGAAAGCAGGCACAGAATTGGTCCTAGTCAGCATGGACTCACTAAAGGGAAATCATGCTTGACAAATCTTCTGGAATTTTTTGAGGATGTGACCAGTAGAGTAGATAATGGTGAATCAGTAGACGTTGTGTACCTGAACTTTCAAAAGGCTCTTGACAAGGTTCCACACAAGAGATTTGTTAGGAAAATTAAAACTCATGGTATTGGAGGTAATGTACTGACATAGACAGAGAACTGGTTGGAGACAGGAGGCACAGAGTTGGAATAAATGGGTCATTTTCAGAATGACTGGCAGTAATGAGTGGGGTACTGCAGGGTTCAGTGCTGGGATCTCAGCTGTTCACAATATACATGAATGATTTGGACAAAGGAATTGAATGCAATATTTACAAATTTGCAGATGACACTAAGCTGGGTGGCTGTGAGGAGGATGCTAAGAGGCTGCAGAGTGACTTGGACAGACTGACTCAGTGGCCAAATACTTGGCAAATGCAATGTGCTATGGATAAATGTGAGCGTATCCACCTTGATCAAACAGGAAGGTAGATTATTATCTGAATGGTGGCAGTTTAGGAAAAAGTGAGGTGCAATGAGAACTGGGTGTCATGGTGGAATGGTCGCAGAAGGTTGGCATGCAGGTATAGCAGGCAGTGAGGAAAGCTAATGCTGTGCTGGCCTTCATAGCGAGAGGATTGGAATTTAGGAGTCAGGATGTCTTGCTGCAGTTATACAGTGCCTTAGTGAGGCCACACCTTGAGTATTGTGTGCAGTCAAAAAGAAAAAGGAAGCATTTGTCAAGGCTAGGGTGGAATAGAAGGAAAATCGTAAGAACCTTAAGCAAGGAGTCAGGAGGACTAAAAGGGATCATGAAAAATCATTGGCCAACAGGATTAAGGAAAATCCCAACGTTTGCTATACCTATATAAGGAGCATGAGGTTCGGCCGAGAGAGGGTTGGCCCACTCAAGGACAGGGGAGGGAATTTATGTGTGGAGCCAGAGGAAGTGGGGGAGGTATTAAATGAGTACTTTGCATCAGTATTCACCATAGAGAAGGACTTGGTGGATGATAAGTCTGGAGAAGGGTGTGTAAATAATTTCAGTCATGTTGAGATCAATAGGGAAGATTAACATTAAGGTAGACAAGTCCCCAGGGCCTGATGGGATATACCCTAGAATACTGAGAGAGGCAAGGGAGGAAATTGCTGGGGCCTTGAGAGAAATCTTTGTATCCTCACTGGTTACAGGGGAGGTTCCAGAGGATTGGAGAATAGCCAGTATTGTCCCTTGGTTTAAGAAGGGTGGCAAGGATAATCCAGCTAATTACAGGCCGGTGAGCTTATGTCAGTGGTAGGGAGAATTTTTGGAATGGATTCTCTGAGACAGGATTTACTCACACTTAGAAATAAGTGGGTGTATTAGCAAGAGGCAACATGGTTTTGTGAAGGGGAGGTCGTGTCTCACTAACTTGATTGAGTTTTTTAAGGAAGTTACAAAGATGATCGATGAGGGTAGGGCAGTGGATGTTGTCTACATGGACTTCAGTAAGGCCTTTGACAAGGTCCCTCATGGCAGACTGATACAGAAGGTAAAGGCACACGGGGTCAGAAGTGAGCTTGCAAGATGGAAACAAAAAATGGCTCGGTCTTAGAAGACAGAGGGTAGCAGTGGAAGGGTGTGTTCCTGAATGGAGGGCTGTGACTAGTGGCATTCCTCAGTGATCAGTGTTGGGACCTTTGCTATTTGTAATATATATAAATGATTTGGAGGAAAATGTAACTGATCTGATTAGTAAGTTTGCAAATGACACAAAGGGTGGTGGAATTGCGGATAGCGATGAGGACCATCAGAGGATACAGCAGGATATAGGTCGGTTGGAGACTTGAGTAGAGAAATGGCAGATGGAATTTAATCTGGAAAAATATGAGGTAATACATTTTGAAAGGTCTAATCCAGATGAAAAATATACAGTAAACGGCAGAATCCTTAGGAGTACTGATAGGCAGAGGGATCTGGGTACACAGGTCACTGAAAGTGGCAACGCAGGTGGAGAAGGTAGTAAACAAGGCATACGGCATGCTTGCCTTCATCGGCCGGGCATTGAGTTTAAAAATTGGCAGGTAATGTTGCAGCTTTATAGAACCTTTGTTTGGCCATTGGAATATTGTGTTCAATGCTGGTTGCCACACTACCAGAAGGATGTAAAAAATGAAAGAACTGTGGGTGCTGTAAATCAGGAAACAAAACAGAAATTACTGGAAAAGCTCAGCAGGTCTGGCAGCATCTGTGAAGGAATAAACAGAGTTAACGTTTTGGGTCCGGTGACCCTTCCTCAGAACTGGGGAACTTCTGAGGAAGGGTCACTGCAACCGAAACATTAACTCTGTTTTTTCCTTCACAGATGCTGCCAGACCTGCTGAGCGTTACCAGAAGGATGTAGTGGCTTTGGAGAGGGTACAGAAAAGATTTACCAGATGTTGCCTGGTATGGAGGGCATTAGCTATGAGGACAGGTTAGAGAAACTTGGGCTTTTCTCACTGGAATGACAGAGGTTGAGGAGTGATAGAGGTCTACAAGATTATGAAGGTCATGGACAGAGTGGACAATCAGAAACTTTTTCCCAGGTTGGAAGAGTCAGTTACTAGGGAGCATAGGTTTAATGTGCTAGGGGCAAGGGTTAAAGGTGATGTATGAGGCAAGTTTTTTACTCAGAGGGTTGTGGGTGCCTGGAACTTACTGCCGGGGGAGGTAGTGGAAGTAGATATGATAGTGACTTTTATAGGGCATCTTGACAAATACATGAATAGGATGGGAAAAGAGGGATTCGGCCGCTGGAAGGGTAGTGGGTTTTAGTTGTAACGGGTAGCATGTTGGTGCAGGCTTGGAAGCCGAAAGGGCCTGTTCCTGTGCTGTAACTTTCTTCGTTTGTTCTTTGTTTTGGTCTCCTAGTCCAAGGAAGGTCATTGTTGTTATTAAGGGAGTGCGGCAAAGTCTCACCAGACTGATTCCTGGGATGGCAGGCCTGAAATATGAGGAAAGACTGGATCAATTGGACTGGTACTCACTGGAATTTAGAAGAATGAGTGGGGGTCTCATATAGGACTGGACAGGTTAGATGCAGGAAGAATGTTCCCAATGTTGGGGAAGTACAGAACAAGGGGTCACAGCCTAACAATAAAGGGTAAACCATTCAGGGCTGTGTGATAAGGAAGAATTTCTTCACTTAGAGAGTTGTGAACCTGTGGAATTCTCTCCCACAGGAAGTTGTTGGGGCGAGTTCATTACATATATTCAGGATGGAGCTGGACGTGGCCCTTGCGTCTAAAGGGATGTAGAGATAGGGGGAGAGGGTAGGAATAGGATACCAACATTTCTTGATCAGCCATGATGGTATTGAATGATGGTGGAGCCTCGAAGGGCCGAATGGCCTACTCCTGCGCCTATTTTCTATGATTCTATGTCTTAACTACTCTATTAGCCGGCCCCTCCACCGTCAGTGATCTGAGGACAAGCTTCCTCGGATCCCTCTTTTCCTCTGAGCCATTGTCTTGCCAATCATTGAATAAGCCCTTGTCTTGTTCCTTCTTCCAAAGTGTATCAGTTCACATCCATCAGGGTTAAATTCCATCTACAGATTTCCCCCCACTTGTAGAACCTCTGGTACTTTTAAAAATGTTTAACTCAAACCCACAGGTTCAGGCACAGGGTCTGTGCAAGGCAGCATTTGCACATGCAGCACAGCTCCTAGTCACTGTGTCTAAGTGCAGTGAGTATTACGGTTCCTACTCTCTCTCTCTCTCTCTCAGTCTCTCTCTCTCTTGGCAGAGCTGCCATGTTCCGTGCAGTGTGTTCTTGCTCCCGTTTGCAGCCTCTGTGTCGGTTCCCTTGGCTCTGCCGGCATTCCTGCGAGGTATCTCCGTCGATATGTACGCGGGAACCCTGTGAACAGAGATGCGACAGGATAAGGGGCGGGGAGGGGGTGGAAATAAACAGAAAATGCTCGAGGATTGAAGGTGAGGGTGTTGCTAGTTGGGAACTAATGGGATGGCAGTAGCATTTTTTTTGTTGTTGGTTTTCTGTCGTGAGAGATTTCAACTCCAAACGGGGGAGCTGTCATTGTGCGGTGAAAGCACGGATTTCAATGAATGGTGGGGGAACAGGCACACACCGACAGTTGGAGAGATCCACTGTTTTTAATTTGGATTTTATACTAATTCAGTTTTTGTTAACAGTGAGCGGGCGTTCTCATTCTCTGATCGTGCTCAATTTGCAAGACAATTGCAATGGTCCCTTTTGTGGGCAATACAATGATTCAGACTGTCTCTGTCTCACACACATGCAGGGATAACTGAAAGACTCTTACTGGGATCAGCAGGGTCAGTTTGAGAGTGGGGAGTAAGGCTGAGAGATTGAGAGATTCAGAACAGTAGTGGCGAGTGGGGGGGTGGGATAAGGGGGTTGGTGGAAGGTGGATGAAGACAGTCAGGGAAGGGGATGGGATTGTAGAGAAAGCACGGCAATCACAGCCAAAAAGAGATTCTGCAGCAGAGATGGAGGTGGGGGAAGAGGATTTAAAGGAGGGTATCTGAAAGCATCACTGTGCCGCTCCCCTGCTACACAGTCAGGGATCGTTCACAAAAACGCAGGAGAGAAATCAGAGCAAGAATAGCCCTTCGACATTGCTCCTCCATTCAATCTCATAATGGGTTGACCAACTCCTTACTTACGACTCCATCCAATATCCTTTGATCTCATTCACCCTAAGAACTGTATCTAACTCCTTATGGAGTCATCCACCACAGATGAGACCCTTCAGGCCAATGATTCAGTGCCAACCCATTGATATGTATCCTACTTTCCAGCACTTGGCCCAGAGCCTGGAATGTTATGACATTTTCAAGTGCACATCAAAGGACTTCCGAATGAGAACATTCAGTGTTTCGGCCTCAATTGCTTTCTGTGGTAGAGAATTCCATGGGCTCCCCATTTCCGCTGTGAAGGCATTTCTCCTCTATCAGTCCTAATCCATTTCGTTAGACTGTGACCTCCTGGTTCTGGACTCCCCCAGCCTTTGTGAACATCCTTGATGCATTAACCCTTATTAGTCCTGTTAGAATTCTATAGGTTTCTATGAGATTCCCCCTCATTCATCTCAACTCCAGTGAATTTAGTCCTAAACAATCCAGTCTCTCTTCATACATCGGTCCTCCCATCTCAGGAATCAGTCTGGGAAACCTTTGCTGCACTCCCTCAATCGCCAGAACATTCTTCCTCAGATAAGGAGACAAAAACTGTGCACACAATACTGCAGGTGAAGTTTTAGTAAGGTCCTGTACAATTGCAACAAGATATCCCTGCTCCTGTTTTGGAATCCTCTTGCTATGAGGGCCAACATACAATTTGCCTTCTTCACTGCCCGCTGCTCCTACAATGCTGACTTTCAGCAACTGGAATACGAGGGACACACAGGACTTTTTTTTAATATAGAATCCCTACAGTATGGAAACAGGTGCTTCAGTCCAACAAGTCCACACCAACCCTCGGAGCATCCCACCCAGACCCATCCCCCTGTAATCCCCGAATCTACACATCCCTGAACACTATGGGTAATAGCATGGCCAATCTACCTAACCTGTACATCTTTGGACTGTGGGAGGAAACCGGAGCACCCAGAGGAAACCCACGCAGACGCAGGGAAAATGTGCAAATTCCACACAGTCGCCCGAGGGTGGAATCAAACCCGGGTCCCTGGCGCTGTGAGGCAGCAGTGCTAACCACTGAGCCACCATGCCACTTGTTGCACCTCCCCCATTTCCCAGCCTATCTCCATTCGGATAATAATGTGCCTTTCTTTTTTTGCTGCCAAGAAGAATAACCTCGCATTCACCCACATTCTATTACATCTGCCATACATTTGGTTTGCTCAGTTGACTGGATGGCCGGTTTATAATACAGAGTGATGCCAACAGTGTGGGTTTGATTCCTGCATCAGCTAAGGTTACCATGAAGAATACGGCTTCCCACTCTCGCCCACCATGTCGACTGAGGCACAGTGACCCTCAGGTTAAACCACCTGAGAATGAAGCAGCAGTCCAATGGGACAAAGTCAACTTTACATTTAATTGCAACACAGACTGTAACTATGGGACTGGTTGTAACTGGAACACAGCCTGTAACTGTGGGACTGACTGTAATTGTAGTATAGACTGCAACTGTGTGCCAGGCTGTAACTATCACAAACTGTAACAGTGGGACTGGCTGTAACTGTATCACAGACTGTGACTGTGGGACTGGCTATACTTGTATCACAGACTGTAACTATGGGACTGGTTGTAACTGGAACACAGACTGTAACTGTGGAACTAACTTTAATTGTAGCATAGACTGCAACTGTGTGACAGGCTGTAACTATCACAAACTGTTACAGTGGGACTGGCTGTCATTGTAGCACAGACTGTGACTGTGGAACTGGCTGTCATTGTAGCACAGACTGTGTCTGTGGATTAATGTGGTGCCATTATTTAAGAAAGGTGGTAAGGAAAAGGTATAGACTGGTGAGCCTAACATCAGCAGTGGGCAAGTTATCTGAGGGGATCCTGAGAGACAGAATTTACATGTATCCAAATACAAATAAAAAGCAAGGACTGATTAGGGATAGTCAACATGTTTTTGTGTGTGGGAAATCATGTCTCACTAACTTGATTGAATTTTTTGAAGAAGTAAAGATGAGAATTGATGAAGGCAGAGCAGTGGACATTATATGGACCAGTAAGGTGTTCAACAAGGTTAAATCACATGGAATACAGGGAGTACTAGCCATTTGGATACAAAATTGGCTTGAAGATAGGAGACAGAGAGTAGTGGTGGAGGATTGTTTTTCGGACTGGAGGCCTGTGACCAGCGGTGCACTGCAAGGATCGATGCTGGGTCCACTGCTTTTTGTCATTTATATAAATGATTTGGATGTGAATATAGGAAGCATGGTTAACAAGTTTGCAGATGACACCAAAACTGGTGGTGTGGTGGACAGCAAAGACTGTTATCTCAGAATACAGTGGGCCTTTGAGCAGATGGGCTGAGGAGTGGCAGATGGAGTTTAATCTAGATAAATCTGAGGTGCTACATTTTGGTAGGGCAAATCAGGGCAGGACTTATACACTTAATAATACGGTCGTGGGGAGTGTTGCTGAACAAAGAGACCTTGGGTGTTCATAGTTCCTTGCAAGTGAAGTCGCAGTTGGACAGGGTAATAAAGAAGGTGTTTGGTATGCTTCCTTTATGAGTCAGTGCATTGAGTATAGAAGTTGGGAGGTCAAGTTGTGCTTGTACAGGACATTGGTTCAGCCACTTTTGGAATACTTCATTAATTTCTGGTTTACCTGCTGTAAGAAAGATGTTGTGAAACTTGAAAAGATTCAGAAAATATTTACAAGGATGTTGTCAGGGTTGGAGGGAGAGTCTGAACAGGATTGGGGCTATTTTCCCTGAAATGTCAGATGCTGAGGGGTGACCTCTAGAGGTTTATAAAATCATGAGGGGCAGGGATAGGGTGAATAGCCAAAGTCTTTTTCACAGGGTAGGGGAATCCAAAACTGGAGAGAATAGGTTTAAGGTGAGAGGGGAAAGATTTAAAAGGGTCTGAGGAGCAACATTTTCACGCAGAGGGTGGTGCATGTATGGAATGAGCTGGCAGAGGAAGTGGTGGAGGCTGGTACAATTACAACATTTAAAAGGCCTTCGGATGAGTATATAAATAGGAAGGGTGTGGAGGGATATGGGCCAAATGCTAGCAACTGGGACTAGATTAATTCAGGATATCTGGTTGGCATGGATGGGTTGGACTGAAGGGTCCGTTTTGTGCTGTACACCTCTATGATTCTGTGTATCACAGACTGTGAATGTGGGATTGGCTGTCATTACAGCACAGACTATACCAGTGGGACTGGCTGTAATTTAGCTCAGATTGTAACTACGGAACGAGCTGTAACTGTGGAACTGACTGTCACTGTAACACAAACTGTAACTTTAACACTGGTTGCAACTATGAGACTGACTACTAATATAACACTGACTGTAACTGTGGGACTGGTGGTAATTGTAGCACTGACTGTAACTGTGGGACTGACTGTCACTGTAACATAAACTGTAACACTGGCTGTCACTGTAACACTTGGCAACTGTAACACTGGCTGATACTTGTGGGATTATCTGCTACTGTAACACTGGTTGCCAGTGTAACACTGGCTGATTGTAACACAAGCTGTCACTGTAACATCAGGGTAATTGTTAACCATGCACTGGATCATGCTTGCCCAGTTTCCAGAGTGTTTGTTGATCAGGAATCTGTTTGCATCCTCTTCCAGGTCAGGAGGAGCCTGTCGTACTGATCATGCCTCGAGAGGAGAGTGACGTGCGACGGAGTGACTCGATCATCCCATGTTTCATCTGTATCGAGGTGCGTTTGATAAAGAAAATGAATCACCCTGAGCTCTGGGTGGATTTCAATCAGATGCAGAAGTCCTTGCACTCTGTAGCTCCCTTGAAGTGAGACTGGATCGGTTAGGATGATATTCACTGGAGTTTAGAAGAATGAGAGGGGAGTCTCAGAGAAACTTATCAAATTTTAACAGGGACATAGAACATAGAAAAGTACAGTATGATGTTGTGCCGAACTTGATGCGAAATTAGAATAATCCCTTCTGCCTGCCCTTGGTCCATATCCCTCTATTTCTTGCATATTCATGTGCTTATCAAAAAGTGCCTTAAAAGACCCTATTGTATCTGCCTCCACCACCACCCCTGGCAGCGCATTCCAGACTCCCAGTACTCTCTGTGTAAAAACTTGCCCTTCACATCTCCTTTGAACTTTCTCCCTTTCACCTTAAATGCATGCTCCCTAGTATTAGACATTTCAATCTGGGAAAAAGATTCTGACCGTTAACCTCATCTGTGCATCTCATAATTTTATTGACTTCTATCGAGTTTCCCCTCAACCTCTACTGCTCCAGAGAAAATAACCTGAGTTTTTCTAGCCTCTCATTATAACTCATACCCTCTAATCCAGGCAGCATCCTGGAAAACCTCTTCTGCACCCTCTTCGAAGCCTCCACATCCTTCCTGTAGTGTGGTGACCAGAATTGAATGCAATACTCTAAATGGCCTAACCAAAGTCTTATAAAGCTGCTAACCAACATCCTGACTCTTGCACTCAATTCCCTGACTAATAAAGGCAAGCATGCCATATGCCTTCTTTACCACCCTATTTACTTGCATGGCCACTTTCAGGGAGCTATGGACTTGAACCCCAAGATCCCTCTGCACATCAATGCTGTTCAGGGTCCTGTCATTAACTGTATACTTTTCCTTACATTTGATTTCCCAAAGTGCAGCACCTCACACTTGCCCAGATTAAATTCCACCTGCCATTTCTCCACCCATATCTGCAATTGATCTATATCCCACTGAATCCTTTGAAAACCTCCTATACTATCCACAATTCCACCGATCTCCACTGGACTAGACAGGGTAAACACAGGAAGGATTACCAGGGGCAAGCCCAGAACCAAGGGATCACAGTCTAAGGATATGGGGTAGGAATGAGATGAGGAAAAATGTCTTTCTCCAGAGAGTGGGGAGCCTGTGGAATTCTCTGTCACAGGAAGGGCAGCACGGTGGCTCAGTGGTTCATTGGTTAACACTGCTACCTCACAGCGCCAGGGACCTGGATTCGATTCCACCCTTGGGCAACTGTCTGTGTGGAGTTTGCACATTCTCCCTGTGTCTGTGTGGGTTTCCTCCAGGTGCTGTGGTTTCCTCCCACAGTCCAAAGGTGTGCCAGTTAGGTGGATTGGCCATGCTAAATTGCCCGTAGTGTTCAGGGGATGTGAAGATTAGGTGGGTTATAGGGGGATGGGTCCGGGTGGGATGGTCTGAGGGTCAGTGTGGACTTGTTGAGCCAAAGGGCCTTTTTCCACACTGTAGGGCTTCTATGATGATCGGGGTAGAAAAATTGAATGTTTTCAAGACGGAGTTGAATATAGTTCTTACGGCTACAGGGATCAAAAGGGAACAGGGGACTGAGTTATACAATCTACTATGATCAGATTGAATGTTGGGGTAGCTTCAAAGGACCTAATGACCTAATTATACTCTTATTTTCTATGTTTCTATGTTTCTTCCTTTCTGCAAATACAATCGATCCTGAGATAAGCAGACCAGATCTGTAAAAATGTTGACAGATTTCTCTGAGATCCCCCCTTATTCTTCAAAACTCCATGAATATAATCCTAACTGATCCAATCTCTCTTCATACATCAGTCCTGCCATCCCAGGAATTTGTCTGGGAAACCTGTGGTTGTACTCCCTCCATTGCCAGAACATCCTTCCTCAGACAAGGAGACCCAAACCGCATACACAATACTCCAGACTGTGGTCTCACCTGTAAGGTTGCAGAACAACATCCTCCTGCTGTACTTGAATCTTCTCGAGATGAAGGCCAACATCCCATTTGCCTTCTTCACCGCCTGCTGCTCCTGCATTGCAATGACAGGACACGCGTGTCTTGCTGTACTTTCTGCACTGTCTGATAACTCTCAGCCTGTTCTTTTCTTTGCAGTTGGTGATTATGGTCGGGACAGTCTTGCTCACCTACTACCTGGAATTCACAGACATATTCTCAGTACATCGTCAAGGTTTCTTCTGTTTTGACAGCACCTACACAAAACCGTATCCAGGACCAGAGGAAACCAGCCTGCTACCCCCAGTCCTGCTCCAGTCCCTGGCCTCAGCTGTCCCCATGACAACAGTAAGGATGACTTCCGTTAGTTACAGCTCCTCTCTACTTACCTGGCCAAGCACTGCCTGGTCCTAGGTGGGAGGTGGGGGCCACACATCCTGGTCCTTGACCATGAAAGGAATCACTTACCCTTGTCCTCAGAGGGACGGAGTCACCAATCTTGGTCCTCGCAGGGAGGGAGTCACATATTCTGCTTTTCAGAGGAAGGGAGTCACAAATCCTGGTCTTTGGAGGGAAGGTATCACAGATCCTGATCATTAGAGGGAGGGCGTCACCATCGTGGTTGTGGAAGGGAGGATGTCACTTATCCTGGTCCGAGGAGGGAGGGGTTCACACATCTTGGTCATCAGCTCGGGAGGGAGTCACTATCCTATCCTCAGAAATGCAAGTCATTAATCCTGCTCCTTGGAGGGAGGGAGTCACTAATCCTTTTGGAGGGAGGGAGTTACATATTTTGCTTCTTCGAGGGAGAAAGTAATAGGTTCTGGCCTTCAGAGGCGGGAGTCACAAACCTCGTTGTAAGGAGGGCGTCGGATATCCTCCTTCTTGGAGGAAGGGGGTCACAGTTCCTGATCCTGAGGAAGGAGGCAGTCACATATCCTGAGGTTGATATTGATCTCATTAAAGGGTCTGCTGTGTGTCCCTGTGTGTGTCTGTGTGTGCGTTTGTGTGTCTGAGTGTATGTGTGAGTGTTGGGGTGTGAGTGTATGTGTGTGTCTGTATATGTCTGTGTGTCTATGTATGTGGGTGTGTGTATCTGTCCGTGTGTATATATGGGAAATGTGTAAGAGCGGACCTCAGCAATATTGGCCCGCGTGCTGATTGATCAGATTTTACCATGATAAATTCTGTCCCGAAACATTGCCCACTGAGTTCGGAAAGTGCTGAAAGAGCGCTCACCAGACTGGCAAATGCTTCGAAACTCGCTTCATTGATTTGGAAGTAAATTCCAGCACCCTTTGTTTTTCTTCCTTTCCAGATTGTTTTCGGCGAGTTAGCGGCGTTTGTCTTTCAGGCAGAGTTAGTTCGTGAGGAGAGAACAATTGTGACTGCAGACTGCTGCTCCCTCAATCCGCTGCTTCGCAGAGTCGTCAGGTTTTTGGGTCTGTCCAATTTCCCTGCTTGCGCCTACTGTCAGTAGCTCTGGAGAAACACTGGTCCAGAGCATCTTTGCTGCTTTGGTGTTTCATCTGCCCTTGCTCAGCACACACTGAGTGACGTTGCTGGAGTCAGTCACCTCATCACACTCTGGGCAGCTTCAATTCTGAGCAAGCCCAGACTCTCACAAGGCTGAGACTGGGACAGGCATTGGGGCTAGCACTAAGGCAGCTCTGGGACTGGCACTGGGGATGGAACTGGGGTGGTATTGGGATTGAGATTAGGACTAGGCCTGGGGCTGTGGATGGCAACCAGTGCTAGTGGAGCTCTGCAGGGGTCAAGATGGGGACTAGATCCACTAATGGTCTGGACGAAAGAACTGAGGGCATATTGTTGCTAAGTTTGGAGATGGCACAAAGATACGGCATTTTGAGGAAGGACTTGGACAGGCCAGGAGAGTGGGCAAAGAAGTGACAAATGAAACACAATGTGGGAAAGTGTTATGCACTTTGGTAAGAAGAAAAGAGGAGTAGAATATTTTCTAAATGGGGAAGGGGTTTTGAAGCACAAAAGAATTTGGCAGTCCTAGTTCAGGAGGTTAACATGCAGGTTCAGTTAGTGGTTAAGAAGGCAAATGCAATGTTAGTATTCTTTTCAAGTCAGCTAAGGCTGCTGCTGAGGCTGTTTATGGCTGTGGTCAGACTGTATTGGCATATTGTGAGCTGTTTTGGGCCACATATATGAGGAAAGATGTGCTGGCATTGGAAGGAATCCAGAGAAGATTTACAAGAATGATTCCGGAAATGAAGGGCTTGTCATATGAGGAGTGGTTGAGGACTTTGGATCTGTACTCAATGGAATTTAGAATGATGAGGGGGGATCTGAATGAAACTTACAGAATACCGAGAGGCCTGGATAGAGTGGACATGGAATAGATGTTTCTACTAGTAGGAGAGACTAGGACCCGAGGGCACAACAATTTAGATTTGAGATGAGGAGGAATTTTTTTGTATTCATCCACAGGATGTGGGCATCACTGGTTGGGCCAACATTTATTGCCCATCCCTAATTGCCCAGTGGGCAGTTAAGAGTCAACCACATTGCTGTGGGTCTGGAGTCACATGTAAGCCAGACTAGTTAAGGATGACAGATCTCCTTCTCTAAAGAACATTAGTGACTCAGAGGGGTTTTTCCTGACAATCAATAATGGTTTCATGGTCATCATTGGACTCTTATTTCCAGATTATTATTGAATTCAAATTCCACCATCTGTCATGGCAGGATTTGAACCCAGGTCCCCAGAACATTTCCTGGATCTCCGAGTTAACATTCTAGCAATTATACCACTAGGCCATTGCCTCCCCCTGAAGATTTCTTCAGCCATCGGGTGGTGAATCTGTGGAACTCATTGCCACAGAGGCTGTGGAGGCCAAGTCATTGAGTGTATTGAAGACAGTGATAGGTTCTTGATTGGTAAGGGCATCAATGAGAGAAGGTAGGAGAATGGGATTGAGAAACACATGGTCGAATGACAAAGCAACTGTATGTGCCAAATGGACTCATTCTGCTCCAATGTCTTAAGGTCTTATGGGGATGAGGATTGGACTGGGGCTGGATCTAGCCTGGGGCAAGGGTTGAGGCTAGAGCTGAGACTTGGGCTGGAGTTTGGGCTGAAGCTAGGACTGCGACAGGGACTGGAGTTGAGGCTGGGACTGGAGATAAGGCTGGGTCTGGGACTGGGATTTGGATAGGGTGGGACTGAGACTGAGACTTGGACTGGGGCTGGAGCAAGAACTGGGACTGGGATATAGCTTACAGCTGGGACTGGATCTGTACCTGGAGTTGGGGCTGGGGATGGAGCTGGGCCTGTGGATGACAATCAGTGACAGTGGAGCTCCGCAACTGTTCATCTTACACATTAATGATCTTGACAAAGGAACTAACGGCCTATTGTTCCTAAGTTTACAGATGACACAAAGGTCGGTTTCAAGGACACATAATGTTGAGGCAGCTGATGAAAGACTTAGAGAGCAGGCAAAGAAGTGGCAAATGGAACACATGTGAGAAAGTGCACTTTGGTGGGAGGAAAATAGGTAAAATAGACTATTTTCTAAATGGGGAAAGGCTTTTGAAGCACACAAGGACTTGGGAGTCCTAGTTCAGGATTCTCTTGAGGTTAACATGCAGGTTCAGTTAGTGGTTAGGTAGGCAAATGTAATGTTAACATTCTTTTCAAGACGGATAGAATATAGGAGCAGCAATGTATTGCTGAGACTGTACAAGGCTCTAGTCTGACCGCATTTGAAATATTGTGAGTGGTTTTTGGGCCCCATATCGAGTGAAGGATGTGCTGGCATGGGAGGGATTGCACAGAGTTAGGGGCTGGAATTCAATCTGTGGCTGAGGATAGGAATGGGGCTGAGCCTGAGTTGAGCATGACAGACAGGGTCTGGGATTGGAAGTTGGGCTGGGACTAAGGATGGCACTGGGGAATGGAGATGGTACTGGGACTGAAACGAGGACTGGGGAAGGAGATAGAACATAGAACATTACAGTGCAGTACAGGCCCTTTGGCCCTCGATGTTGCGCCGACCTGTGAAACC